CCGGGTGTTGTTCATATACTGTTGACAGATTCGCTAAGGTTAGGTTAGGTAGGATTAGTTGGTTGGTGCAACCCTGAGCCTGACCGCACTGTTCGTAAACTTTGTGGCCAACCCGACTCTCACACCCTCCGTCACTACATCCTCACTTGCCCTATGACCTCCTCCTACAGGTCCCCAGCCGTTACCAACACCTCTTCCCTCCCTGACCAGATATCCCTCCTCCTAGTCACTGGCCTGGCACTTGACATTATTAGGGACCTGCCACGCTTTGCTATAAACAGATGAATTGTACCGGGAATTCCCCCTCCCCCCCCACACACTCATCACTGTCACTTTATGGATAAGTTTAGGTTGAGGAGGGAGATAGGAAGAAACTGGTTCACAAATAGGGTGGTGGACGAGTGGAACAAGCTTAGCAACTTTGTAGTAAGTGCTGGAACTCTGGAAAGTTTCAAAAGGAGGCTAGATAGATTCATGGATGATAGAGAGTGGTAGTAACTCTCGACAGGAGCTGCCATGCACAGGCCAACCGGCCTATTGCAGACTCCATATTTTCTTATGTTCTTATGTTCTTAACTTGCTGACAAAACCCATGACCCTTCAGGCTTCCACGCCCTTAATGCATGAGTCATAAAGGCAAGCATGAACTCCGCATGCTTCCCAGTTGGGCACTGTAAACGCTTCTGCGCTTCACCTTGCACAGGATGTAATGGGGTGCCCAATAAACTAGCCCCCTCCGGGACAATCTGTAAAAATCTGTAATCTGTGTAACTGTTTTAAAAGAAGTGAATCAGGAAAGCCTTCTGAAGTAAAACACGAAAAAAATTAAGTCCAGTACCTAAAATACATAGTTTAAAGGTGCAAAAACTGTATTATTTATGGACCTCTTACCTTAACAGCCCCAGTATTACCTAGATTCCATGATACATATCATTCTTCGCCTCACATCCTGACAGACAGGGAATGAACCAGTGTTGACGTCGCTGTGGGTAGCTCGGTTACAATACAATGAGAAGCCTAACACAGGACTATCCTAAATTAGCAAATATTATAGGACTGGAAGTAGACATATCCCCCCGTTGATGTTGTGTCCTCCATTGGTGAGGTCTACTATAGTGAAAGTCGTTTGTTGTTAATGAACGTTGACCAGGCAGTGGAGGAGTAGTTGCCATATGTTTATACTTGTGCTCATGTAGTGAGTCAACAATGCATTAAAGCGCAATATTGGTATGTGTGCATTTCTTATGAATTGTTTCATTTTTAATATATTAATGTAATGCTTTCAAGTTAATAAGTCAGCGCAGAATTCTGAATTCATTTACTACATAACTGAAATGAATATTATAATTTATCTCTGGCCGTCTTCGCTCATGATTGGACAAATGTTTTAGCGGTTTACCAACAAAGGATAAACGTACTGCAGTACAGTATAGCCTCCTCTTTTACAGCAGTGTTCGGGATGTTTTATATAATACTTTATAATAAATATAACTACATTTTAACTGGCTTAAAGAATTTTTTTCTGGGGCGAAATGTGAATCAGGAGGTATTCACGCAATTTAAATAACATTTTTTTTTCCATTCAAGTACTGTACAGAATTCCGACCACAGCACTTAACTTCATTTATAATCAGCGCTGTAAGTATGGAAAGACAACTCATAGTAATAGTTATAATTTTTCATGGAACTTTTTGTTTTCGACTAGGAAATTTTGTTTCGTAAAATTTGACCTTTGAATTCTTAAATTGTCCTGAATGTGAGTAACAGCGACTGAAGTGTAATGAGCTACCCTTGTATTCACTCTTTCTGTCTACAGGAAGTGCGATATGGTGTTTGACTCACCTTCAGATTCTCAATGGTGTTCTTGACAAAAAATAACTAATTGGTTGGTTAAGTCAAAATCTCACGAAAACAATAAAAGCATTAACTCTTTCTGAACCTGAAGAACAGAGCAGAGAGATGGTTGGCACGAGTGTCACGGGGTAAGGTGTGGGGGAACGCGGGTGTGGGTTCAGGGGGGTTTAGTAAATAAGTTGGGAGAGCCATGTAAGCTTGGGGAGGTTAGGAAGCAAGGACAGAACAACAAGAGTGAGCGCACCCAACAGGCACGCCCCCACGCGTTACCCTCGTGCTCATCGGAGGTCAGAAGGCTCATCACCTGTCCTGCATGTCAGTATAAGTCTTTTGTATACTTATATATATTGTAAGGGCTGATGCAATCATGCTGGATGTAGAAACAGCTGACTCAGTAACGTAATACTTTTCAAGGTCACTAACCAAGACATCCAAGGAGTTAAAACAATACCTATAGTCATATTATGGAATACATAACCTTCGTTTATTAATGACCAAACTATGCACCAAATTTCAACCTAATGAGAAGGGTACTACGTGCTCTTGTTGTAGGAAGGTGTGGCTGAATGCTGGTTGAGAATAATTGTTCGTCAATTTTATGGACGTGTATATCTGTATAATACTGTATGGTATACTGTTACACAACGCAGCATTTTATGTGTGCAGGATGGTAGTATAGATTTTATCAATGTGTTTATTAAAAGTTCTCCAGTGAATAGCAATTTTTTTTCTTAAATAAATACAGTACACATTAATCTGATGTAGGTTTACATTCTGGTTAAAAAAATGAATTTATATATATATATATATATATATATATATATATATATATATATATATATATATATATATATATATATATATATATATATATATATATATATATCTTGATAAAATAAACAACCGCTAGTGCTCCGTTGTTTCGTGATTTATCAAGATTTATCTTATCCACGTTTTCATTGTGGATTTACATGACATATATATATATATATATATATATATATATATATATATATATATATATATATATATATATATATATATATATATTCTCACCCACTTCTGACTGAATCACTTTAAAGAAAGTCCAGTGGTATTGACCGAAGCGAGGATTTATAACCACTGTTCGACGATTGTTCACGTTTAACAGGCTCTTACCTCTATTCGAAATCAGAATGCAAAGTACGCCATATTAATGTTTTCATGAAAAAAAAATGCAGTTCCTCAAACCGAAAAAATCCAGTAATAATCTGTTTGTTTCATGAAGTTGATGTTAGTGCATTTAATAATAATAAAAACAAAACATTAATTCTTAATAGCGTTTATGTACAATTTGTCCTTTCAAAATTTACGCCCACACTCTTGCTTTTGTACTGATGAGATCTATATCTTTACTCTTCTATATTGGTAAAATTTACACCTGTTCTCTTATTCTATATTGGTGAAATCTATACATGTACTTGCTCAACACAGTTGTTTCTGAATTGATAAAAGGAAGTGGTCAATATTCAAAACCACAAAAGGTGACCCCGGGTGGGAACACAATGTCCGGCCCAAGGACTCTAGGTTAGGGCGAGAACCACCTGTTGCCTAATGCAAGTTCCGCTGCTGTTGCTAGGCTGTTATTATTCTGTTACTAGCCTGCTGTTGGGCTTGTATTTTGCTGTTACCGGGCTGTAATTTTAATATTACCATTGCTATTGTTGGGTTGGTATAATTTCTAAGGGTCAGTTTGAGCTATTACTTGGTTGTTGTCCACGTGTCCACTGAAAGCAACACCACACACTCTTAAAGTCACCCTCACACGTACACCAGGTGCTGAGTGAAGTCATGGATAAAAATTTCTTGCAACTGGAGATTTGTAAACATATCTTAAACTTTGCTGCAGCTACAGGAAAAGGATTACTGCCAAAATGACGTCGGGAGTTCCTCTGAGACCTCACGCAATAAAATGTGCTCTCTTATTTCTATGTGACAGAAAAATATAAAGGAATATATGAGAATGTGGGGTGTGGTTAATAGCGACTCACCATACTATTAGTGAGCCACACCATCATATGTTTTTACACCTGTTTGTTATTACCTTCTCAGTAGATCTCTGAAACGGTTGTGGATGTTTTGTCTGTTTTCTTAACACACACACACACACATATATATATATATATATATATATATATATATATATATATATATATATATATATATATATATATATATATATATATATATATATATCGTGAACATGTGCATGCGATGTACTGTATACTGTACAGTATAGTTAATTTTATTTTTAGTCAACAAATGGCCACCCAATTATGTGTATAGGCTGTTTAAGGGCGTTCGTATGCCTGTGTCTGAGGTACACAGTACATGCATCTAGAATATTTTCCCTACGTTATTCAATCTTTACGGTGGCGAGAAAATACCGTAGAGTTGGTGTGGCCACACGTGACGATGTTTTTTTTTTATTATTATTTATTGGGCACCCCTACATCCTTGTGTAAGGTGAAGCGCAGAAGCGTTTACAGCGTCCAACAGGGAAGCATGTTAAGTTCATGCTTGCCTTTATATCTCATGAGTTAATGGCGTAGAAGCCTGAAGAGTCAAGGGCGTAGAAGCCTGAAGAGTCAAGGGCGTAGAAGACTGAACAGTCAGTGGTTTATGTCATCAAGTTATTGGAAGCTCCAACAACTCCCTGAATACGAATTCGTAACTTTCGACTTACACCAGGTACCTACTTTACTGCTAGGTGAACAGGGACTAATGGGGGCTAGGAAGTACGTCCAAACAACTTCCACCGACCCGGGAATCGAACTCGTGACATCTCGCTTGCGAGGCAAGAACGATACCGCTTCTACCACCGGTCCCCCACGACGTTGATGTTGCGCGCACACTCATACTGCGCACCCCAAGTTATTTATCTCCGTCACACTTTTATCTCTTCCCGCCCTCTTCCCTCATCTTAACTCTCTCAAGCAAAGAAGACTAATAAGTAATATATTTACAGTCATGTTTAGTAATCTGGGTAATATTTTTGAGGGTTCAAACCGGTCCGTCTAGCGCCGCCACCTGACCTGCCATCCTCACTCGTCATTGGCCATGGCACAGGCGCCGGGGGCGCCCACCGATAGTATATAAAGGGGCGTTTGATTGCAGAACGTCAGTGAGCAACCACAGAGCAACCGAACAACAGCTCCTACAAGAAACTTCATATGAAAAGAGCACAAGTGTTACCTCGAGCTGGGAATTTTCCGGACTTAACAAGGGTTGAAAGTTTGAAGATATAAAAGTAAATCAAGTGTGAGAGAAGAGCAACATGAAGGTGCAGTCTACGTCTCCTATTGTGGTGGTAGCCAACAGGCTGCCCTTCTGCCTTGGCACTAACCCAGAAACTGGACAGCTGGTCAGGAAGCAATGGTGAGTACATGTGTTGTACATCTCATTACGTTTCCATGTTTCCATGATTATGTTTAGTTGTTTACACGTGTTTACTTATAACATGGTGAGTACATGTACATCTGTGAGCACATACACCTGTCCTAGTTGCCAGTCGCTGGGAAAAATGAGAACAAGTATACATCTACGAATATATATACGTACACCTATAATTTGTACACAGATGAGTATACACCGGCATACATCATGGCACTTGTACACTAAACGCTATTCGTATTATAGTCTTCACAAGTGTACTTACCTAATACCTCGTGCTTACTGATATTATGACACTGTACATACAGTGTAACTACACAGTATGGAGATGCAATATAGTGGAATTGTACACTATGGGAATACTGTATTATGCATTATGGTGGCACTGTACAGTATGATGATGCTATATAAAGGTACTGTACAGTATGGTGGCACTACTATAAAGCGGCAATATACATGGGTAACTATAAACATTACTATAAACATACTATAACATAGTATGATAAAACTAAATATATCGACATTACACAATTTGGTGTCTACATTATGGTGAAATTATAAACATTATGGTGACTACAAAATACAGTTAAACAGTGTAGCTACTATATACTGTACCGTGAAACTCAAGGAATGCATATTCCTTGGTGAAACTATACAGTATGGTGGCACTTATAAACGATTGTGGCAAAGTTGTGAGAGGTGTAGTGGAGGTCAACAGAGGTTATTTGTTTAAGTCTACGGTACCAGTTCTCCATATTTCATGCATGGTGGCCCGTGGTTTACAAACACACATGTGTACATGGTAATATACACATACTTGCATATATGACAAAACAAATGCGGGGTTCTTTACCCCCGTCGAGGCTACCGCTGAATGCATGTTTCATGCATGGTATACTCAAATATTGGATATTATTTGCCCTAATTCTTTTAATAATGCAGTAAAAACTCAAAAAATAGTTTTAATCTTTGTACTGTACCATTAAGACCCAGTGACAGCAGGTTGGTTTGGATGGGTTGCATGAAATTTTGTGGCACAAGCATAGAAGACGTTTAGAGATACCCGTGAGATACCCGTATTGATATTTAGCTACCTCAATAGGAAAAGTCCTCTCTACCTAGTTATGAATAAACCAATTACCTCACATACTGTACAATGCAACATCGTAATACCCATACCTAAAAAAATAATAATAATTGGTGCAATTTTCACCAGTCGAACTTTGCCCACAAATAAAAAGATAAAAGACAGGGGTACCTAGTGACAGCACTAGGATCCCGCTTCCTCTATCAAGGAATAAACAATTGAAATTGAATTGGTAAAACCCACGTGGTTCAGCTACCTGTTTGTAGCGAAAGTGAAGTTTTTGTTTACGTCTGGCCAAGGACGCTGGCGAGACAACGTGCCATAAAAACAGCGCTAGTATAAACAATCAACAGTGCCTACCGTTTCCCTCGACCCTCTTATGATACGGCAGTGAAAGCTACGTCATACGAATGTTCGTCCATGTTACGCCTGCAGTGCTGATCTTTGCGAGACGAGAAGTAAAAATTTACAGCATATTTAACAACTTGAACCAATCAAACCCAATAAAACCAAGCTCATATTTGACATTATTTGTACATAAAATGAGTTGATGGGATTAGTCTGACAGTGCGATATTATCTTGTGAGCAATTGAATGATAGAAATTTGTCCTGTAGGAGATTGTTCAAAGTAATTTTGCCACTGTACAATGAACAAAACTGAATTATCAATCAATTAAAACTGAGAAGCGGATCCTTTTTCCATCTTTACGTGGGCGGCATTTGCTTGTCAAATAGAAAAACGTTCCGGACCTGAAGTGATGGTACAATACTGTAAGCGTTTCGTTTGTCACTCCGGAAAAAAGTCCAAGGTTAAGGGTGGAGTGTTTCTTGTGTTAGTGTACTAGTGTAAAGTAGAATGATTACTTGTGTTACAGCCTTGTGTAAATAGGATTATAACCTCTTTAGTTTTCTAGAAATGGTTTGTATAGTTAATGTTTATCATTGATTTTGACAAAATCAATGATAAACATTAATTATACAAACCATTTCAAGAAAACTAAAGAGGTTGTTGTTGAACTAAGTTACACAATACATTACAGTACGTAGAACAATTTCACTTGTCCAGTGCTAAGTTACTGGTAGTGTTTTTCATGTTGATGTTTACTTATAACATTTGAATTATCTTTTATTGATAAATCAACCCTAAAAGTATTCTTCAATATCATTTAGTTGGAAAATATTTACAGTTGTTGGGGAGAACTTGTACTATTTGAAAAAAAAGTGATACAGTACTAATGTAGTTTGACTACGATGTTGTAGTACAGGAGTAACAGGACGACCTGGTTAATAATAAACCTTTACAGTACAGTATGACTAAACTGAATCCACATGACAGTAGACAGTCAAGTTTATTTTAAATTAATGATATAGTTGATATGAGCATTATAGTGTATCTATAAGCTGATGGCGAGTGAGTGAAATCTAGAATAGTGTGCATTATCAACCACGACTTAACTTTCAATTTTTCACTTCAGTGCTGGTGGTCTGGTGACAGCTGTAGCGCCTGTGGTGGTGGAGACGCAAGGGCTGTGGGTAGGCTGGTCTGGCCTCCACCTCGAGGATAATAATGTTGCCATTCCTGAAGCTGACCCAAACGACCAGACTCCTACTGCTGGTCTCAAGAGCAATCAGGTGAGTGTATTCACTTTAGTGACCACCTTCATCTGCAAAAGGGTGTGCCTTGTTGACTTTTCGAACTGCTGCTTCTTTTTGACATTAACTTTACTACTATAGTATACAGTTGTTGACACTGAGGAAGTCATATTAAACACGCATATCACTAAAGTGTCGGTAGACAATCATGCTTGCTAGTACTGTACACTACACAGTGAGGAGCAGTAAATTTAGTGTAATCTTGCAGCAAGATATTTCGTTTGTTCAACAATATTTTATACATTACAGTACTAATATAACATTAGCAATTGATACTAACTGCTGTAATATATTTCACAAATACAGTAGTGTATCAATTGAAATACAGTCGTGTTAAAGTAAATCAGTTGATGTAGAAAATGTTTTATTTTGTTTTTGGTTTAGGTGCTGCCTGTTAATGTCCCCAAGAAGCTGTTTGATGACTACTACAATGGCTGCTGCAATGCCACCTTCTGGCCACTCTTCCACTCTATGCCTGACCGTGCAACCTTCCAGGCAGATAAATGGGATGTAAGCATTCTTCAGCTTTTCCTGGCCTTGTTCAAGATATGTGAAGATGAAGGAAGTCATTCTTGATAGGAAATGTTAGTTGCAAAATGTTCCCCAAATTATCATGAGAACAGATCAGTTTATAGGCTGTAGATGTTATATTTTTTTTTTAGTCATAACAAACAAAATTTTGCAATCCATTTGATGTTTCAGGCATACCGGCAAATGAATGCAGAGTTTGCCCGGCTGACAGTGGAGGCAGTGAAACGCCTGTCAGAGACCCACCCTGGGGAGGTGCCTCTAGTATGGCTGCACGACTACCACATGATGCTGGCTGCTAACACCATCCGTGAGAAGTGTGATGAGCTCAACCTGCCCATCAAGATGGCATTCTTCCTCCATATTCCCTTCCCATCATGGGACATTGTGCGTCTCTTCCCTTGGGATGATGAACTGCTACAAGGTATCTTGGGATGTGACTCTATCGGCTTTCACATTGAAGATTACTGTCTCAATTTCATCGACTGTTGTCAACGACGTCTCGGCTGCCGTGTTGACCGACAGCAAATGTTGGTTGAGCACAACTCTCGGACAGTGTCTATCAATCCTCTGCCCATCAGTATCCCTTATGAGCGCTTTGTGCAGCTGGCAGAGAAGGCACCTCAAGTGGTAAAGAACAATCTTCATGAACAACTGCTCTTGGCAGTAGACCGTCTTGATTATACCAAGGGTCTTGTTCATCGCATCAAAGCCTTTGAAACCCTACTCCAGAAACACCCAGAGCAAATAGAGCATGTAACCTTCCTCCAGGTTGCTGTGCCATCTCGCACAGATGTGAAGGAATACCAGGAGCTGAAGGAAGAACTGGACCAAATAATTGGTCGTATCAATGGCCGATTTTCTACCCCAAATTGGTCTCCTATACGTTATATCTATGGATGTGTTTCACAGGACCAGCTTGCTGCCTTTTACCGTGATGCCTCTGTGGCAGTTGTTACGCCTTTAAGGGATGGCATGAATCTTGTTGCTAAAGAATTTGTTGCTTGCCAGACGGGCGAGCCAGGAGTCCTTATTCTTTCTCCATTTGCTGGTGCTGGTACCTCAATGCATGAGGCTCTTCACGTTAATCCTTATGAGACCAATGAATTTGCGGACACTATATACCGAGCACTCACCATGCCCAAGGATGAGCGTGAATTGCGAATGAAGCTGCTGCGTCGTCGTGAACGGGAATATGACGTTAATTTTTGGCTAAGATCTTTCCTCAAGACTGTTGACTGTCTCAATGATGATAACAAGTCCATGGCACCAGGCCGCCTACTTCCAATGCGAGAAGAAGATTTTAGTGAATTTTTGGGTTTATACGTAACAGAGTCGTCACGTCTGGCTCTCCTGATGGACTATGATGGAACTCTGGCACCCATCGCTCCCCATCCTGACCTTGCTCAAATGCCCACAGAAACACGTCGTGTCCTGGAACGCTTGGCACACATGCCAGATGTAAACATAGCCATCATCTCGGGCCGGTCCTTAGAAAATGTGAAATCAATGGTGGGTATTGAGGGCATAACATATGCTGGTAATCATGGGTTTGAGATCCTACACCCAGACGGTACCATGTTCATGCACCCCATACCTCACGAATATGAGGTGCAGCTGGAGGCCCTTAAGCAACGTCTTGAAGAGATATGTATAGATGGTGCATGGGTTGAAAGCAAAGGCACAGGCATCACTTTTCATTATCGTGAGGTTACAGGAGACAGAGTGGCAGATATCACAGCACGAGCACAGCAGATGTTTAAGGAGATTGGTATCACCATACACCAGTCACATTGTGCCTATGAGGCCCGCCCCCCAGTGACCTGGAACAAAGGTCGTGCTTCTATATACATTCTCCGCACGCTCTTTGGGCTAGATTGGTGTGACCGTGTATCAACAATCTTTGCTGGTGATGACAAGACAGATGAAGATGCCATGAAAGCATTGCAGGGCATGGCTGTCACCTTCAGAGTAACAAGATCTCAGAACCTACGAACAGCAGCTATGCATCGCCTGCCCTCAACAGATGCTGTTCTCACTATGCTCAAGTGGATTGAGAGAAGATTAGGGTCTCGGGTGCCTATATGCAATGGTCAAAGATCAAGAACGGCGAGTGTGTCTAGCAATGGAAACCGATCTCCGCCACGCTCTCCATCCACCCCTCATATTCGCTCTCGCGCTAACTCTAATTCTGAGCCCAATAAGCAGATGATGACGATAAATGACAAGATATATCATCAGTATATTGCCAAGAGGGCTTCTCCTCCCAGGAGCTCGAGTACGTCACCACCACACTCTCCAACACGATCCACCATGTGAACCTTGTACCTGACACACCTGTCATGTATTTATTGTTCTGGCGCTTGATCCCGCCCACTCGTGGCAGGTACCAGGGAGACAACAGCCTTGGGTGTCACCAGTTGTTGTTTTTTAAGTAGGCCAGGAATATGGCCTTTGCCCTGGACCATTGCAACGTGACTCGCAACTCTGGGACAATGTACAAATGTTTGCCCTTATGGGCACGCTTTTTATATAACTTTCTATTTGATATTTTAAATTTTTGATAAAAGTGTCATACTTTTTTATCAAATGTACACAAATAGTTTGCAATATATATATATTCACTAGAAATGACCATTACTGAAATTAAGTTGTACCATAACTTATCACTTTTATACTGTAAGCAATTGATTGCCTGTGGCAACACGGCCTATTGTGTAGGACGTCTTTTGCAACAATAATTATTTGTAACATATATTGTGAAGAATGACTGCTGAGTGTGATGACTAAGGCCTAGAGCCAACTACATATTTACATATGTTTCCTGTGATACTCTGGTGTTTTACTTCATAAATTGAGCTAAACACTGATATGTGTGACTTTTTTATAGGGTTTAAACATGCCTTCATAACTCTTTAGTAAAAGTCAAAGTAAGTCTTATACTCGCTTTTGATTCCACCCTAAAAAAGAACCACTTCATGATTTGAAGAAAATGGTCATAATTAAGGTGATTCTTGCAAAATTATTATGACAAATAAAGTACAGAATAAACTGACATAAGAAAAAAATAAATGTTTAGATGATTTGCAATCATACTGTTAAAAGTTTATCTGTAAATATTGTATATAGTCTCAATGATTTACTTAGAGATCGATAAAACCGTAACATTACAAAAGAGAGAATTCGGTGACATCGCTCCGTAAGTCCTTTTTATTAGGTGACAGAAGGCCCCCCCCACCCACCCAACCTTGAAGCTCATTGACGCGTACATAATGTTGGATTAATATTTATACTGTACAAGTATAGTGCAAATAATTCCATATATCTGTTAAAGATATCCAGTTCTGCTGAATTTAATGTAAATAATGTAAATACAATACAGAAATGTAAATAAAATGATGTTAAACAATATAGAATAATGAAAATAATATAATATAGTATGGGTAATAGGATTTTAGTTACAGATATTTGCGATAAATGTACCGGACTGTATTTGTAAAGCAATATACATATTCATAATACTGTACAGTTGTGAATATGAGTACTGTACCTAAATTTACAGTAGGAGAAGAGAGGTGGTTGAGTGCAGTGCTGGCCACACTCCCTCCTTATATATGAACTGATAGTTCAGTATACATCTGTGCTACATTTTCTTTTATCCTCTTCACCACTGATCAGCTCATTAGCCGTTTGGGCGATCGGTCACTTCTCTGTTACGCACTGTTGGCAGGTACTGGGCATGCACAGACTCCTGAATGTACCTGAACCTGCTCCAGTGTTGGTCAAGTCTGGTCTTGAAAGAGCTCACACTCGGTGCCGTCACAACACTTTGTACTGTGTACAATAGAGGACTTTATGAAAAATTAATTTCATATTGTAATACAGCATATGAGGATGTGTTTAATGTTCTGCTCAGGTGAAGTAGACACTGTACTTAATTTGTTAACTGGAGGGCACATGTAAATTTTGCAACTCTTAACTGAATCCTTATTGCACCCTTATTAGCATATACAGTACAGTATTTCCTCTCTATACTATACAGGAGTGCTTCAATTTAAAAAGCCTCGACTTATAAAAAATTCACTTATACCAAAAAAAAAATTCCAGTGATTTGGAATACGAATGAAAAGACCGATTTTATGAAAAATTTTATGGTATTGTTTTTTTGTAGCATTGGAAGATGCCAAGTTGCTGACACAGGCAATTGGCAGTGTACAGTAATGTAGTGCAAGCTAGTGTGTGGCCATGTTTCTGCATTTATACTGCACAGTATATACATATACTGTACTGTACAGAAAACATGTCAAGTGAAGGTGCTACTGTATATTGATCTAAAAGTATGGCTAACTGACCATCAAATAAGAGACAGAAATTTATAACTGATTACGTCAATTATGTTGATATGGAGGAAGAAATTGATGAATCTATGCCTCTGTCATACACATGCCAACAAGAACATGGAAATGACCACATCTCGGGCCCCATAACAGGATGAGGAATTTGATAATGAGGGTAATACTCCTGATGATCTTGATTGTGACCATGGATGTGCCACCAATTTCTGTGCTTTTTTTTTATAGGACCAATACAATAGGAGGAATCTGACATTGATGTCACACCATCACCCTAAGTACTGACCACCTACAGTTTCCTGTAAGTTGAGTATTCTAATATGGACTAAATAAAATTGATACTACATTGTATGGCTCTATTTGTTATTATGATTAATACATATGCTTCGAAGTACTGTATTGTATCCCACAAGAAAAATGCAAAAAAATTGGTATTTTTATGTTTGATGGACTTTTCTTCTTCGTAGAAATGTACTTCCCTATATATATTGGTAGTCAATGGGAAAAATGGATTTGATTTACAAAATATTTTCAGGAACATATCCCTTTCATAAATTGAAGCACTCCTGTATACAGAACACTGCTACCGGGTACTCAGATTCCAATAGTACCTCTCGTTTCCAAATGAATTCGCTGTACTGTACTGTATACTAAATCAATCCTCAAATGTTTCAAATATTCAAATATATTACAATAATAAAATGCCCAAATGTTACTTACAAATAAAGAAAATATTATATAAAACTATAAAATAAGCGATGTGAGTACTGTAGTGGTGTTAATTCTGTGTGGGCGAGAAGTTAGGAAAAGTGGATAGCTGGCTGGACTGAATACAAAATTACCCCCCAGGGACCGCGACCCCCTTAAAACGATTGTATAGTATGCAATTTCAGCATAATTCCCATGTTACTGTATTTAGCTTCCTTTGGTGCTGGGCTAATAAAAAATAATAACCAATTTCCATGAAAACAATATTTCACATGACCTCAGATAAGTTATTGTGTCATTAAATTCCTGGTACTCTGTTTACATAGAACAACAGCTGACCACCCAGCCAGCCTGGGAAGGAGGTGTTTATGTATAGGCAGTCCCCGACTTACGACGGGATTTGGGACCCAAATCCAGGTCGTAAGTCGAAAATGTGAAATTAATACATAGAAAATCTAAAATGGGTGTCTCTTTTTCTTCTCAGCACGACAAAACTCTCACTTTTAAGCTTGCCAGCCATTTTAAAGTGAATTACAAACGAAAATTTTGTCAGTACACAGCGCAATCACTGACGTCGGGACTCGAAAATACGTAATTTGAAATTTTTTGGGTACGACTGAGGTGGTCGTATGTCCGGGTAGTCGTATGTCGAGTAGGTCGTAAGTCGAGGAGTACCTGTAATGTAGAACTACTTTTTGTATAGTATGTGTTATTGTATTTTTTATGTACAGTATTACAGTATAGTGTATATGATACAATATTTAGTGCTTATTAAAGTCTTGTGATACCAAACTACAGTATTTTATAACAAAAAATTAAATAAAACAAAACAAAACAGTATTTTCACAATTCACCTGAACTAAAAATACAAAACTATTTAATTGGACAAGTTTATTGGATTTGTTTTATACGGAAAAACTTCAAATGCCGAACTGGCTGCTCACCAACTATTTCAGTAGAGAGAGGAAATACTGTAGTACAAATAAGAGTGGTACCACACTCTATATATACCTATATACCGAAATAAAAATATGAATAAGAGTGGTATCACACTTTATATACCTATGTAAAAACCAAACCTTAACTGTGACAACAGATTATAACATCTGAAAACCTCAATAAAAAAGTTGTGCTTAAACTGGATTCTGTGGTCTTGTAACAAACAGCTTATTGGCACGGACTCCAAGCTTCATTTGTTGCTTGTTCTGCAACCTATGCATGAACTTCAAATCTCGGGATTTCCTGCAAAGAAAGAAAGAAATAAACACTCGGTAAAAATTAAATGGGTGCTTTCTTAAATAAATGAAAGATCAAACTGAGGACACACCTTTTAAGGACATTAAGATTTTATAAATCAAACCTGCAGGCAATGATCTGTCAACAAGAAAAAAAAAAAAAGGTATGAATGCAATGAAATACAGGAGAAAAAAGGGATACCATCAAACACAATTAAATGTTTGTAAAATTTTACGGACAAGTTGAAAATTAAGCAGCACACAGGATTAATGGTTCCTCCCAACTGTTGAGGAGGTACTTTTGGTTATTATTTACTCTTAATTATGGTCTCTTACGTGTAAGTTAAAGTGAGGAAGGTGAGTCTGCTAGAATGAGGCAGGAAAGTTTGAGTGAAAGAGTAAATGCATCAAACAGGCTGACTATGGGTGTGGACGTGTCTGTGGTGGACAGGTACTTTGGTGTTTTAAGAGTCTGCTGTCTAGTACATAATGAACAAAAAAGGTATGAGGGAAAGTGTCATGGCAAATGCTCCCATTATGGCTAAAGTTATCACAGACTTCCAGGACTTTCCTATCCAAGAAGGAAAGGTTTGTTCCATGATTTAAGGCAGCAAAGGACAGGTTATTTCTTCTCCTGTGCCAACACCTCACACTGTATGGTACAGCCCATGTCTGCTGTACTGTGCCTTGAACCCACATGCATTTAAGATGAACAAACACTGTTTGCCTGTGTTTTGGCAGGCTGTGGATTATGGCAGCCATATTTGGTTGCTCATGCATCATACTATACCTAACTTGCATGGCTGCAACATATTTGTACTAGAATTTCAATGTGAAGAAAACTGACTGAGGAAATATAATACTTTCTTGTTAAAAAAAGAAGAAGAGAAAAGGAACGTAAAACCATACACTGTACACATTATACTGTATTACTCTATGGTGGCAAATAGTGACCAATTCCATACCAGAAGAAGCTGATACAAAGACATAAGTGTCAATAGATTGTAAACTTGTCATATGATAAAATACCCACGAATATATTCTCATGAACTAACTGAGGCCAATTGGGGTTTCATCACTACAGTCCCATGAAACTGAGCTATACCCTCCATAACAGCATTTATCCAAAGTATGGGAGGTAGTCCTCAGGGTGGCACCTACACAACTATTGTAATCATGACCTTCGCCCCTTTAGTCAGAGGGACTTACCTGGTACATCCTCTTACACCAAGCATCATATCAGAAGGATGAACCTGGTACGTCCTTTAATCTCCATAACAAAAGGAAAAGCTGGAAGGGTGAGATTGCTCTGATATGGCACAAATCTTATTCTAAGACACTGATATCTCACAAGGCCTAGTCAAATATTTTTTTACTGTATTCATCTGTTTTCTGACCTCTTTCTCTGAGTGGCCAGACCTGTTCTGTTTACTTGTTTGATAAGATTGACCCCCACATGGTGGGCAGTGGCCTACCAGCTGATTGGAGGGAGAGTTTATCCACACACACACACACACCACTTCCCTTATCCACCCCCTCTGGTTTAATGTTTGGTGACCACATCGGCCTCTCCGAGCAAAGGTGATTAACAAAAACTAAGTAATAACTGAACTCATGTTCATGATCATACCTCACAATGTCTGCCCTTGTAGCTCCATTCCAGCCCAGAGAACGATATTTTGCCATAACACTAGGGAAGGCTGCACCAGGTTTCTTCTTAAGGACAACAGCCAGGTGATTTGGATCTATCTTTTGCCTGTGGAAAGAAATTTTAGAAAGAAAAGATAAGCAGGAAAATATATGCCCTCAAGTGCAACACACCGCAGCAATAGATAACTTGATTTAAAACTATGATCAAGATTATACAGTCATCCATCAATTTTTCTTTGTCTTGCTCTTTTTTTTTTCTAACTTGGGTTGTACAGTATGAGGTGCATCATACATCACAAGAAACAGTAATACAATCACCTGACCTTAGCTTACATTAAGTGAAACAATGCTTCATTACTTTTTAAATCAAATTTAATATAAATTAATTGAACTACCTATGTTTCACAGACCACTTGTAATGTTAAACAATTTCAGCACATTTCTCAAGATTCCTCAATTGTGCCAGCAGTATTCCTTCTTACATGAGAATTCCACAACTCTTTTTCCTTTCACCTAAACTCTTTAACTGTTACTGGCCCCAAAAAAAAAACACTCAAAGTTAATGGGTCTGTGTACACAGCCTTCCCACATAGTCACCACCTCAGTGTTTCATCTTTTAACTGGAACTTACCACTATAACAATGTATCTACCACTACAGTCACCTTTTGTAAAATAATATTCTGTACATGAAAATACTTAACTTCCTACTACTGTATATATACAAAATCTGCCACTATTTTCTCTTATTAAAAAAAAAAAATCTGACCCCTGGTATTATTCAAGTTTCCCAATGAGTCAATGAAAATAAAATTTACAAAACTGAAAAATTTCCAAAAACCAGTCCTAAACAACCAATACGCACTCCATGAATGAGGTACAATACAATGAATATCTCACCGGTAATATCTGCGGAGGGACCTGTGACCAATACAAGCACCAGAAGGCAATACCAGTTCATACCCGTCCCCTGTGAGGACCGTCTGATGCACCTCTTCTTCACCTGCAGCGCCCTCACCTAGAATGTATAGTAAAGTATTGTACAGTATTTACATAGACAAACACCAAACAGAAGATTCACTCTTAAAAGTTTTTATATTTTTCCAGTGTATGCCTGGTTTTAAATACAGTACATGAACCCCAGTAATAAAAATAAATAAATAAATAAATATTAATATAGTACTGTACCTGTAATAATAATAACAATAAAGCCCATACTGTACTTTCAAAATTCCTGCCAAAAGGAAGCATAAGCTTGCCTCAGTTTTCCTTCCACCGGTATATAACATTTTGAATTCCAGGCAGTTGGTTCTGAGCTTTTGTCACTGTTATCTGCATTTATTAACTCTTATTCTGCCCTTATAATGGTGTCTAATTTGTGTAAAATTTACTGTGTTGAAGTGCAGTGGTATGACAAAGAAACCTATTATACTTACTATTTGCAATATGCTGAAATTCTACAGAAATAAAATAAGAGTAAGTCAGTGTATAACTTGAGGGAGTATTATTGTTTTGGTACCACAACCATGTATGATGTTGAGAAGAAATTTATGTGAAAAGCTGTAGTGTGTAGACCCATACAGGAAGCTATATCAGTTGACTTTGATATACTTGTTTATGAATGGTGTAAATATGGCAACAGTGAGGGTGCACAGTAGGGTATCTATTTCTATCCCACTTTTATGTGATAAGATTGATAACTATAATCTGAAGGTATCCATAATACAAACCGTGATTGGTACAGTACCAAGGAATTTGGACTGGAGATCATATACTGTAATGTGTATTTATATATTCATCTTAACAATCATTCATGTATTTACACAGGCTCTTTGAGATGTTCATGTGCTGGTGGTGGGATATTACACCGACTGTGAACAATACTGTACAGTATTATGCCAATTAATAAAATTTCTGAAAAAATCATGACAAAAAAACAAAATAAAAACATTTCTGGTCCCACACTATTCTGGATATGAGGCATTGTCCTGTATTTTATAGGCAAGTTACAAAAAAATTTCCAAAAATGTTCACTAGATAATCACAATACAGTACTCAATATAAAATAAAGTGTACACCTTTTGTTAACCATATTCCATACTGACTGTAGTAGACATACAGTATCTGGTAAATTAAAATTTTCATCATTAACTGTTATCATGCAGTCAGATATTGGCTCAACATTAACACCTAAGATCTTGACTGAATATCTAGCAAAGTTTCCAGAATTATATAATATGGCTTGTTTTGTTTTGTCTTTTATCATGTGTTGTGTGCACCAGGCTAGTAGGAGACCATCATTTCAGTAGTAAAGTTAACCAGTAGGTCAATCTTTCTCTTTTTAGTTTTCACAAGCAAAGTAACAAATCACAGTTGAAATAAAAAACAGAAAGATTAATTTCAGTTTTCTCTACATTGCTGGAATATGGGAATCTTCATTAAGGAGGAACTTTATATTTGATTACTGTACTAACCTGCATCTGGGTATGAGGAGGAATAATCATAGAACTCAGCATACTCCAGCAAGGTGTCACCGTCCAGGACTATTTTACGATGTCCTTTGTCGACCATGTGTTTGCGTATGGAGTCTAGTGTTGGGCAGCGTCGAGCCCTCCACTTACAGGCAAGGCACTCAAATCCACACCCAATCTTTTTATATAAGAAAAAAAAAAATCTATTCACAAGGCAACTTAAATTTTTTTTATGTATACAATAAGCAAATCTTCAAGTGTTTAATTAATAGTACAGAATCCTTGAGTATATTACATGAATGTTCAGAGCTCATTAGATCAAACAAAATAAGGGACTGATCCAGAGATCCCATTTCATAGTAGAGCCTGGAGTGTACGACTCAAATATATAGGCAGATAGGTTGAAAACCCCAAGGACCCCTGACATTACAAGTATTAATGGGAACTAGTGTAATCTAATACTGTAATTAGCCAACCTTCCTGTCCTTACCATATGATTCAATTAAAAGGGGGGACCTGGGAATGCAAAAGTTCCCACTTACAGCTGAAAGCTAAGAGCCTTTATTGTTCAACTAAAATTGGCATTTCTTGGTTTGAAATCCCATTCCCAGCTCACCTCTGTAGCAACCAGAAGGAGAAGGGAGGAAATCTGAATTGCCTGACTCAGGTTCACCTTTAAAATAGGATTTCAGGATCAATCTCTCACTTGCAAGCTGATCCCTGGCTTGTGGATGACTCAATTATCTTAAACCAGCTAGAAACAGAATGTAAAGAAACTCCAAATATAAATGTACTATACTGTATACCCCAAAGGGAAGAAATTCAACAAAAAAGGCATAGACCATCACCTAGCAAGTTTAGCACATATCTAGGGTTGACAGTAAGGTGAAGGATAATATGTATTGATCCCTTTTTTTTTATTTTTAGATCCCAGTCATAATTTGATGCCCAGAAGCAGGGATTTCACCTTAGGCCTACTGATTACACTAGTTGCTTGAACCTGACATAACAGTATATAAAAATATATGACAAGTACAGTACAGTACCTGTATACTGTAATTCTTTTCCTGTCCTTAAAATTTCTGCCATATTTCATGAAACTACCTCTTCCCATTACACATAATTCACATCTATAACCATAACCACACAATTTGTACTTGAGCTTCAATACAGCATAGGAAGGTTTAGACTGAAGAATGCAGTAGAGTAATTTCCAAATACGGCAAATTATGAAATGTCAATGTTTGCTGCACTGTAACGTACCTTTTCTCCCAGGTATGTAATGAGACCTGACACATCCACACAAAACTCAAGGTCAGGAACAAAGAAGGAATGTTTTTCTGTCATATGATGCAGCTCGTCCTCCAGAGTATCAGAATGGTGTGAACAAAACAGGCAGTCCAGCAGCTCTATTGTATCTCCCTCCCACTCATCACTGTCCACTTCTTCAACCTGTAAAAAAATATATATACAGTACAGTATATATTTTCTTAACAGTACTAAACTTTTTAACATACAGTACTGGCACCAAATAAATGGGATGAAGATTTTTTTAATATACTTTTCAAAAGATCATTGATCAAACATCTACAGTATGTCCATATTTGGCAATATAAATACAGTAAATGGCAAATTTACAGCGTTACACTGATGAATAAAGCATCTATCAACTGAAAAGTTTAGGACCAAGAAGGATCTGTAAAATAAACAATTATGTACAGTGAATACTATTATGAACATGTGTCTAAGGAAAGCCTGTAATAAACCATAGTACATGTACAGTATGAACTTGTGTCACTTTGATTATACGGTATTATTAGTTTCTGCAATACCTGCACACTAACTTACCGGGTATATACAGTACTTCATTATTCTCTAACACTCTCAATGATACTAACTTTACAAATAAGCTTTCAAAGTGTCATCATTCTCATACAATCACTATTAAACACCCTACATGTGTTCCAGACCGACATGATCAACTTACTAACCTTCTTGATCTTTGTTTTACCTCTAACCCCTCACATTATTCATACTCAATTTTTGCCCCATTAGGGTCTTCTGAGCACAATCTTATTTCTATTAAATCAAACTGGGCACAACCACCTCCCCCACCCCTTCTAAACGCCAACTGGCAATCCTTGCGAGAATTCTTCTCCAACTTTCCTTGGGATGAATGTTGCTTTTCCACTTGGGACGCCTCGGTATGTGCTGACAGCATTGCTGGGGTTATATTGGGCGGTATGAGTGCATTTATCCCATCTTCTACCATAACTTTCAATTTACAATCATGGTTTGATCGCTCGTTCTCTTGTGTGTAGGGAGAGATATAGAGTGTATCAAGCTATGAAACTATCTTCTTCTCCTATTACCCACTCTTCTTTCATTACTTCTAGGAACCGCTGTAAGGTTATTCTTCATAGGGCCAAGCAGAATTTAATAAAAAGAATGACCGCTGACCTGACTAACTCTTCCAGTAAATCCTTCTGGTCCTTAACCAAAAACATATGCAATAACTTCTGCACTCCCTCTTTTCCTCCTCTCTTCTGACCTGATAACTCTATAGCCAGCTCTCCCCTTGATTAGCCCAATCTCTTTGGCAACTTATTCTCCTCTAACTCCACCTTAAACAATTCCAACCCTATCCCTCCTACTGAACCTATGCACTTTCCTATAATCTCCACTCGTAGGGTTGCTGGTGTGTTATCCATGTTGGATGCGAGTAAGGAGCGTGGACTGGACGGAATACCCCCTCGTGTTCTGAAATTCTAGCCTCTATGCTTGCTCGCCTCTTTCACCTTTGCCTCAAAACCTAAATTTTTCCTTCTTCTTGGAAGCATGTCTCGGTTCAGCCCATTTCGAAGAAGGGTGACCATTCCAATCCCTCTAATTATCGCCCCATTGCCTTAACTTCATCCCTCTAAGTTTTTCGAAACTATCTTAAACTCATTTTCTCCATCACCTTGAATGCCTTTCTCTTTTGTCGGATCACCAGTATGGCTTTCGCCAGGCGAGATCTATTGGTGATCTGTTCTACTGCATCCATCTTTGGTCATCCTCTCTTAGAGGTTATGGGGAAACTTTAGTTGTGGCCCTCGACATCTCCAAAGCATTTGACAGGGTATGGCACAAGTCTTTGCTTTCTAAACTTCCCTCTTATGGTTTCTCTCCTCCACTTTTTTCTCTAATTTCTAGCTTCCTTGAGAACCAATCCATGACAGTTGTTGTCGCGGGATCGATCTCTCACTCTTTCTCTACCAATAGTGGTGTCCCAAAGGATTCTGTTCTTTCACCTACTCTCTTCCTTCATTTTATCAATGATTTACTTCACACTACGACCAATTCTATCCATTCTTACGCTGATGATTCTACTCTTCACTCTTCTTCACATTTTTCCCTTCCCCCTAATTCTCAAACTAGATCTGTTTCTAGAGCTGATATCATTTTATATATCAATGCGGATCTGTGTAACATCTCCGAATGGGGAGGTAGAAACTTGGTTAAATTCAATAGTAATAAAACACAGTACAGTATACTGTACTGTACTGTATTTGCCAATTACATTTTCCTAATTAGATGATCTCCCACCAATCACATTTCAGGATGCAATCATTCTGCCAAATTCTAAAATAGATATGCTAGGCCTCACCATTTTCTCTAATATGTCATGGAAGCCACACATCCTCAACATTGCTAAAGCTGCCTCCCGAAAGCTGGGAATGCTGTACAGATGTCGTAACTACTTCACTCCTGAGCAGTTGCTTCAAGTTTATAAGGAATCATTCATCCTAACTTGAAGTACTGCTCTCATATTTGGGGTGGCTCTTCTTGTGTCCAACTGTTAGATATAGGGTGGAATCAATGGCATTTCATCTTATTAACTCTCCTCCTTTAGTTGATAATCTCTCTTCCCTTTCTCTTCGCCGCAATGTTGCTTCACTCTCTCCCTTTTACAGGTACTTTAACGGGCAATGTTCGGTGGATTTGGCATCCTGTGTACCACTGGCAAAACCGTGGGCTCGTAAACTCGTCTTGTCTGCGGTGCCCACTGTTTCTGTGTAGATGTCGGTCACACTACAATAATCCGTTATAGTACATCCTTATTTCTTCACACAGCCAAACTGTGGAATGCTCTGCTTTCTTCTGTGTTTCCATACTCATACAATCTGTCAAGATAAAAAAGCTGGTTTTCCAGCAACTTCGGGTATAGATTAATATAATCTTTTTCTTTTCTATTTGCTCTTATTTTTTCGCCCCCTAGGCCCCATAGTGGGTCGATGACCTGTGCCCAGGTGGGCTATTCCCCGAAAAAAAAATATATATATACGGAGTAAATACATATAACTTACTCTTCAAACATACATGAAGACGAATAAACTCAACACTCACATCAACATACAGTCACTCAGCCAGTTGCCTGATTGTTCATGTAATATGGGGAAAATTAAATAAAAGAGAAATATTCTATATTGTATTGTTAAATTTCATATAATAATTGCTCATATTTTTGCTAATATTTATTTTTTCTGTAGAGCAGAGTTTCAGTTGACAGATACTGTACTTAACTGTAATGATATTTTTTTAAGTTGTTGATCTGCAGAACCTGTAAAAGACATGTGCATGCTGTTGATGTTTTTTTTTTGTGGATGAAGAAGTTTGAGATGGAATTGTGGTATGAATACAGTACTGTACTGTATACCGTATATGTCGTGGTTAGAGAAAAAAATTGGGAATGAACTGGAGCCCTGCAACACACCATGACTATTCTGTATAAACACTGAGGGAGTAATTTTTTGGGCGAGTGACAATAGTAGTGTGGAATGGGAAGATAATGATTCATTTTACTGTAGAGTGTATGGATTAACACAGTTTACAGTGAAGCTTGGTGTGTGTGTGTGTGTGTGTGCGTAATAATAATAATAATAATAATAATAATAATAATAATAATAATAAAAATAATAATAATAAACGGTTTATTAATAGAGTTGCAGCCGGTGGCTGAAAATATACAGACTTACATTTGATTTAGACACGTGTGTGTGTGTTTGTCCCATGCTTGGGGAGAGAAATGCTGACCAGATAAATAAAAAAATATAAAGAGGTAAAGAAATATCAAATCTATGACATTACCTCCGTATCCTCGTCATCTTCTTCATCATCTTCCTCTGTCGGTTTAGGTTGTCTTTGCTTCCCTTTATTCTTCTTGTTTTTAATCTCTGAGGAAAGAAGATAAAGAAAAACCTTTAAAAAAAATTAACAGTGCAGTATAAATAAAGAGACATGGATTGTGAGATTGTCAGACAGAGAAATGGCCAGAGTTTGAGAGAATGGGAAGAATATGATTGATAAAACACTATAGACTATATTGATCTGAAAATGAATGGTAAGGAGACGAGAGAAGGGAAACCAAGAAGAAAAGGAGAGGATGAAGGATACACTAATAGCAAAGGAGAATGAATGTCCAAGAGGGGGCAGTATTTGTGCAGGACTGTATTGCATCAAGAGATGTTGGGGATGGACGTAATGCCGATAGATGATACTATGTTGTATAATGAGATGGGTATGAATCAGAGATATTTGTGGAAGGAAAATACCAGAGAAGAATACATCTCTTACAGCAGTGACAGTGAATGGAGGAGAGCAAGTGAAGTGACTGTTTGCAGTATGGTAGAAAATAGCTTGCAACAAATGGAAAAGCAAAATACTCGTAGTAGAAGTTTTCAAGTACACTATCAGCAATCTCACCAAATATGACAACAATGGGGTGTGTTTTCCTGAGTACGAAGATGATCATGGGTGATGTATACAGAACACTAACTACACCCCACATTCACCAAACCACTTTAAATGGAAGAATATTCAAAGGTTGTGAACAAAGTAGCAGTTGAGAAAAATTCTTACAGTAAAGGATACAGTATTTCAGTTATTTTTTCCATGTAAAATTAACCTATGACAAACACAGTGACATTCATCAGAAAAAATAATCCACCATGTTTATTTTCCCCACTATATGCTCCATCCATCTCCATTTACTGTAATAGGTGTCTCACATCTCACGCTACATGTTCACACCAGGACTGGACCCAGACAGGGTAGTCTTGGGGGGGGAGGGGCCCACAGAAGGACCATCAAGTATGCAAATGGCATACATACTACATACTTTTGATTAAAAGTAGTTAAATTAAGTTTAACAGGATAATCTAATATACTATAGGACTAGGCGTGTGTGTCTGTCTGTCTGTCTGTTCTGGGCAGCCGAAACGACACAATCGTTTTTCATCATGTGTCTGTGTCTGTCTGTCTGTCTGTTCTGGGCAGCCGAAACGACACAATCGTTTTTCATCAAACTTGGTGGAAAAATCGCAAAAAAAATTCGTAGTGGAACAAACCTGGTCCCATGTCGATGGTTTCTTTAGGAAGGCATTAATTAACCATTCTATTTACGGTGGAAAACGATGCAAGTCTGCGGACTTGGCGCACCCGAATTAACCATGCTAGTCTACGGACTTGGCACACCCTCATTCGCTGTAAGCTAGCCAAGCACGAGCGTTCAAACTTTCACTGGGCACGAAGGTGCCCGCGATCACTTGTACTTTACTAATACAGTAGTCCCTTGGTTAACGCACACAATTCGTTCCAGAAGGTAGTTCGTTAACCGAAAATTTCGTGAACCAAATCCATTGTTTCAATGGGATATTGGGTAAAAAAAAAAATGCAGTAAAGTACACTTACTTTGAGGTGTGTATGTAGAAGGCTCCTGGTTGATGATGATGATGGGAATTAGAAGTGGGGGTGGAGAAGAAGGGAGAAGAGAAGGAAATGGGGATGGAGGAGAAATCACCTTTCAGGTGTCCGATGCTTGACGCCTCATTTCACCAATAAAATTTTAAGTTCACAAGGTGTAATTCAAGATTATTTTCTTTAAATCAACACTGCACTGTGCCACATATTATCAATATGTTAAATAAATTTCAGAATGTCCAATAATTGTACTGTAAAAATGTAAAAATACTCTGTGTTCAAGAGACCCACAAGCAAGATGTTTCCTCCACTGAACAGAGACACAAACAGATGCCTTGGTGGGTGAGTGAAGTGGCTGATGGGCACACCAAACACTAGTTCCCTGTACTGCAATTATGTTAAATAAGTGCTAAAATGACTAATAATTTTAATATAAAACTCGGAAAAATATTGAATAACACAACCTTCTTGATATTTACTCCAATGGAAATGAATGTAAGCCCTAGAACCGATTACTGTATTGGCGGACTAATCTACCAGCCGATGAGCAAGCCAAAACATGTTGACATGTTTTCGTAAGAATTTCGTTGAACAAATTTTTGTTCGTTAACCGAATTGAAGATTCTTATGGAAAGTAATTCGTTAACGGAAATTTCGTTAACCGAGGGACCACTGTACAGTGTTTTTGTGACACATCCCTCATATTTTACAGAAGTACTGTGTTGATACCTCTCACAAACAGGTATTGTGACTCTTGCAAAGGCAATTTGTGCTGTAACTTTATGAAAGGTACTGGAATTTCTGTACTGTAATTGGAGTTATGTAAATTATTGTACAGTACAGTATAAGAGTCTTTCATATAACTGTAATAGTTTTTCACAGTGCATTCAAAAGAAAGAATATTTACAAATTGTGATGCAGTAGCATAATTATACTGAAGTTAAAATATCATTTATACTTTCAGCTTCCATTTGACAAATCATATTGCTTATCCTGTCATCAAATACAGAATTAAAAAATCGAAAAATGTGTTTTCTCAAAAATAACACAAGAAATCAGGATGAATTTCATGTACGTATCTAAAAATAAATATGGAACTAAATACTGTATTGTAATTAAAAGAAAAAGAGATGACAAACAAAACAATTTAACATTAATGGACTAAGAGTATATGACCTACGGTACATTACACATTTGTTAATCAATTATTCCAATGATAAAGGTTATTGTGATTTTTATTCACAATGCAGCACATTAGTTCGATAGAGCCTTTGTATAATTACCTTCTGCTTGAGCAACAACAACCTCTGAGTGCTTTTTGGATTTGAGGTGATTATCGTAGGCATTCTGGGAAGTGAAGGTTTTCTTACAAGGTCTGCAAGGTATCTTCTCATGAGCATTTGTTGTCGCCTGTAACGATGGGTTATATACTGTACATTACTGTGGTTATAAGAGAAAAAAAGTGTTAATATGGAGGACTTCACAGCAGCTTCTCCCCATCTCAGTAACAGTAAATTCGCCCACGGCAGGTGCTAAGTTAAGCTGGGCTAGGCTAGGTTAGGTTAGGTTAGGTTAGGTTAGGTTAGGTTAGGTTTGGTTATGTTAACTCAACTTAAACTTTAAAATAAACACTTTTTAACATATTTGCCATAACTACGACAGTGTCCACTATAGGAGAGAGCAAAATTGTTGGGTTTTTAAATTCGTTTTTTATGAAAAATCAGCAGGTGTGAAGTCATAAATAATTATGAAAAAGTTGTTGGTGCATTATTTGCATGCTCATTTATCCTGTATTCCATTAGAAACTGAGGCAGCTGGAGTACAAATGAAGAGAGAGAGATTGCCAAATGGATTGAAAACTACAAATATACAATTTTTCAATAATGGCATTTAGAAAGACTCCCCTGAAGATTAACTAACCTAATACTGCACCAACCTAACCAAACAAAACCTAGTCAAATCTAACAATGTAATCTAACCTAACCTACTCTCCCAGGCAGCAGCAGAGTATTAAGTCATCAGGTAAGACAAGCTTATCCTTTAGGTAAGAAATGTTGGTTACTGTTCGGTTTAGCACATCTTCAAATCGCATAGAAGCACTTAATTTTAGGCAATTTCTACCTCATATATACATTCCTCGGCCCTTGAAGTCCTGGAAACGTGTTTGTTTCAGAAACATCACACAAGTGAGGAACGCCTGGGAAATTAGAACAATAAATCTCCACCCGTCATTTTTGTCCCACCGCGAGCTGTCTCGAGCCTTGAGACGGGTCCGACTAATTACCCAAATGTAGCAAAGTGTAGCCGCAATGAAGTCAAATAATGGTCCTACATGAATAAATCGGACTGCTAATCACTTCTCGACTAGTATTTGGTGTCACAAAGTCACAAAAAACTGGAAAACTTACTTTAATCTGAGTTAATAGATCGCGTGCATGTACCGAGGGAGCGAGTAATTACCCAAATGTAGCCGCAATGAAGTCAAATGATGGTCCTACAAGCGTAAATCGGGCTGTGAATCACTTCTTGATTATTATTTGGTGTCATAAGGTCACAAAAAATTGGTAAACTTAATTTAATCTGAGTTGTGTTAGGTTAGGTAAGGTACATGCACTCGATCTATTAACTCAGATTAAATTAAGTTTACCAATTTTTTGTGACTTCATGACACCAAATACTAGTCGAGGTTAGGTTAGGTTAGGTACATGCACTCGATCTATTAACTCAGATTAAATTAAGTTTACCAATTTTTTGTGACTTCGTGACACCAAATACCAGTCGAGAAGTGATTGGCAGTCCGATTTATTCATGTAGGACCATTATTTGACTTCATTGCGGCTACATTTGGGTAATTAGTCGGACCCTGTCCTGACTGCCTCCACACACCCCGCAGGGGTTAGGTAAGGTTAGGTTAAGGTAGGTTAGGGGTCTAGATGTTTGGTTTATGATGTATTTGGATGTATTTTGTTCAGATCTCACCTTCGTTTTTGATGGAAAATAGCCGTTTTGATCAAGGATGACTTGCATCTTTTTCTTTCAATCCCAAACAACGCATATCCCATGGAAACGAGGGTCAGACCTGAACAAAATACATCAGATATCAAATACCTCGTGAAAAATTCGAGGGTGTGCTAAAACGATTAATTACCGAAATGTTTTCTTCTATAATGATTTTTCGTTAGATAGCTGGTTAGCCCGGATCAGTGGATATTGATATTACCCCTTTTTTACCTAAAGTATCATTAATTAAAGTAAGAATGCCTGCTTACCTGCTGAGCGTTGCCTTGGGCCTGGACAACACGTTCGTTGTAAGTTTCTCTGGACACTGGAGGTAACACGGCAACTTTCCTCATTAAGTTATATCGATGCCAATCAGATCGAAAATGATCTCGCTGTCCATCGCCGTCAACAAAGACTACGTGACAGCTGAGACAGGTAAACGTCGCCATTATGAGCTGAAAAAGTTAATAATACACAAACGTTGCGACACGAGACGTCAGCGAGCTCAGTGCTGTGGCCTGGGAGACCCAATGTTTAGGATCCGTTGTTGAGTCTCGATCAAGGAAAGTGGAAATATCTCACAAGGAAGTATCTCCGTTACAACTTTTATTTTTGTAAACAGTTGCCAGTTACCACAAGAGAACAGACTGTAGAGTCACCGGAGGACAGAGCTACCAACTTTCCAAAGAAAACGGACAAAGAATTGGGGAAAACAATGCTGTTTACTGAACTACATTTTTTAGCATCAAGAAAAAGGTACTCATGAGTACCATAGAAAAATTAAAGTTAGAAATAGTGTACTTGGCCTACATTAACTATGCAAATCTTTACTAAAGACGATATTAATGTAAAACAAGCAGACGAGAAGCAGACGAGAAGCAGTGACAGTAGCGCCATCATACCCAGGACGAACAACTAAAACATTTACCAAATTTCACTATTTGGTTTAATTTCCATCGCAGGGAAATTTAAATTTTATTGGATATTCCTTGGTTCCCAACCCCTTCCTCATACACGATTAATCGAACCACTTCAAAATCGACTCACTCTCGCTTTAGAGCCCAATATCAAATACAGAAGACGTACTTCGAAAATCACTTCAGAATCTAAAGAAAGGACTGGGAAAAGCAAGAAAGAAGTGACTGCCAGATGTAGCGAGAGTTTTCAGCATTATTTGTATTGTTTACAAAAAAACAATGTAACCTACGGGACTAACTTACCCTCTGTTGATGCAGTTATAATGAGACTATGATTAGGATACAGATATTACTGGCAGATAGGTGGAGGGGCGGGTCAACCTTATCTTTTTTACTTTTACTTTTATCCTCTTCGCCACTGATCGGCTCGTTAGCCGCTTGGGCGATCGGTCACGTCTCTGTCACGCACTGTTGGTAAGTACTGGGCATGCACCGGCTCCTGAATGTACCTGAACCTGCTCCAGTGTTGGTCAAGTCTTCTCTTGAAAGAGCTCACAATCGGTGCCGTCACAACACTCTCTGGTAGATTGTTCCAAGAGTTTACAACCCTCACTCCGAAAAAGTTTACCCTCACGGTTTTCTGGACTTGCGGCTTCTTCAATCTTGAGCTGTGTCCTCTTGTAGGGCGAGCGTCCGCCAGCTCCAAGTAAGGACACTCGACTGAGTAGTGCCCCCTGAGATGCTTATACACCTCAACTAGGTCTCCCCTTGCCCGTCTGTAGTATAAGCTAGGCAAGTTCAGGCGCTCCAATCTCTCAGGGTAGCTGAGGTGCCGAAGTGCAGGCACCAGTCTGGTGGCCCTCCTTTGAACATTTTCAACTGTGTCATCTTAGGGATGCACGTACACTACAACATTATATATTAGGGTGTGAAAAAAAATCAACCATACAGTACAGGAACAGTGAGATCACTACTTTAAAGAAACAAGTTTGTTGGATGATTAATAATGGAAAGATTACAATAATTCTTGCAATGTATAAGATTACATTATCTGTTCCTTTAATGTAGTACAGAGTTCATGTAAAAATTAAATCTTTTATTGCTGTAAATATAATTCTTTTAACATTTATAACTTTTTATTGTCAATAAAACATTTCAATTTCAATTTCAACTTTAGAATCTGCCCAGACTTTTAGATTTCTTTCACTCTTTGAAATGTCGGTTTTAATTTTACATCTTGACGACATATGAAATTAAACATCAAAACTATGTTCTCAAAATTGACAACATTATGTCCAATAGGCTTTTACTGTTTGGGCACAGTGAACATAATCTTGTTTACCTGCAAGCAAGATAATAAAAGAAAATTATTTAACTTTTTGTTGGAGGAAAGCAGTGTTGGTTTGTTTAATCCTTTCATAGTTTCCGCTGAGTTTATCCATACATTCTTACAAGAGAAAAAACAGACAGCACTCATCTTGCTTTCGAGGCTGTAATGATGACGCGCATTAGTTTTGTGACTTTTTGTCCAAGTGGCTCACAGCTCAGCAGGACTATTAATTAGTGGACGAAGAGGATAAAAGTATGTATTATATCTTACTGAGTGCAACTCTGTTTTTTTGCACATGCTGAACCAATGTAAATTTGAATGATAAATTCCGAAATATCTATCTATCTATCCCACTATCAAACTTGAAATAAGAGTGTGGTTCCAGGCGATAATCCATGGGGTTTTCCAGGGGGTCCGGGCCCCTCTTTCATCAGAAAATTCCAATACTTTTTCTTTAATGCAGTATTGTACTCGTGCATTTTTGTATTGTAAAAATAGTTACTATTTACATCAAAATTTCTCCTAATATCAAGTGTACATGGCTTCAAAATGGCCTAAAAATGACCTTCATATTGGTCAGATTAAAACAAAAAATTATAGGGGAACCCCCCAACTGGGTAAGCTAGCTGGGTTCACCATGTTCCCTCACCTACAACTTCTTGGAGTTGGACCCCCCCCCCTTTTGATATTCCTGGATCCGTCTGTTATTGTTTTACAAAAGGAGTTATCAAGATTTATGAAATTTTATAGATTAGATACATTTTTGATGTTTGAACTATGCGTATTCAGATTTTTTTTTATAATTTATGGGGACACTAAAATAAACTAAATTTTATAGCCTGTCTTAGGATATCGATTAGCATTTCATAGGTCTTTACTTTTATCTCATTCACCACTTGTCAGCTGATCAGCCTAATATGTACACTTTTCACTACATATACCATATTTTGAAAGTGGATAGAAGAATACTATATTGTGATTTGTTCAACGTATCATCATTATTATCTTTATATTGCAACATATGCTGGTGTATAACGACCATGCATCTATTGAAATAAAAATATATATGCTTTCCTTTAAGCTTACATTTTAGATATAATGTTATTATTTTATGGATGAAGAAAACTCATAATTGATATATAATAATTTCAATAGGGTAAAGATATTTCTAAATTTGTTGACATTTGTTCATTTAAATGCACCCACGTATGTAAAGTCATTTTATTAAATTCTTGGTTAATTCAGTTATTTATAAAATATAAAACATACAAAAAATATCATAAAGCTATATGTACTTTAATAATAAGAAATATTTACCATGAAAGTAAAATCTATTATCTTTTGTAAAAGTGTTCACATCATTCTTTACTTTACTCCAGCAGGGGAATAGTTACGAGTTGTTACCCTCAAGTCACCGCTACATTCCCACGTCTACTAACTGGTGAGGTCATTTATTGTATACCCGAAAGAATTTTAGCATTGCAGGTTTTAGCATGAGCAGGTTTTTGTCTCTTTAAGGAAGGGAAAAATTCGAATAATGCGTAATAAAGATGGCGCATGCTCAGTCCAACATCTGATTCCATTCCCAGAGACAATATTTTCCTCAAAAAATATACATCTATCGCAAAATTCCTCTACAAAAATGACTTAGATTGGGTATAGGTAACGGAGACTATTTAATTGTGGAGAAATAAGAGGCGGATGGGTGTCTATTTGCAGAATTTGGTTGTGTGTTGAAGGTCAGAGCGAGGGGCGCCATTCTTCCTTGTGGGACGTGTGGACCTGGGCTCACTACCCACTTATTAGCACAAAACTCCGCCCTGGACGGCACTTTCATGATTTTATTCAGCTGGTACAGTGAGTATTAACCCCATGTTGGTTATTTGTTATGGAATATAGATGTAATTAATGGTGATTGGTATTTTTTTTTAACTTAAAATGGAAGTGGATGTGGAAGTGGACTACCAACTAGAATGTTCATGAATTATTTTATTTTATGTGACCTGTTCAATCATTATGTTATTATTTATGAGTGAAATGGCAAAATTATGTTGGGAAGTGAAAAATTATGGTGAACATATGTTTTAACAAAGGAGCAAATCTAACCATGCTGTAACTTATGTCGTCTGCTGTTACATCATTAATATGCAATAAGTCTCCAGCACCTCTTACTCTCAACCGAAACTCTTGAATTGAAGGTCTTAAATTTTAGTCTTTGTACATTTGGTAATAGACTTTGGTAAATGTGAAAGAAAGTAGGTCAAGTATTGCTTCTTAATAGCATGATACTTTCCAAGATTATTGATTTTAGTGCTTTTGGTCATAATAAAGAAGAAATGGGTTTATTGGGTGATGAACTGGGTTGGTGACGAAATGAGGTGTATCCCTTTTATTAGGTTCTGTGTATTGTTGTATTTTATATTTTTTTTTTACTATCGTCCAAAGAACTTCTGTGGAAATTTTTTTTACGAAATTGAACACTGCATTCTGCTGTTAACCATCTGTTCCTGGATTACCCAAATTTCATCAATGCAACTGCTTTGATGGTGGAATGAGGTATTTGGTTAATTTAGAGCCATTAATGTGAACAATTAAGTGTTGATGTAGAATATCTGAAGCAGAGAAAGTAAAAATTATCATGATAAACACATTGAAACATATGTCTTAAGAGAAAAGGAAAGTTTAAAACGAAGTGATAATGACCTTTGACACCCAATTGCCGTATATCACCATCCCCGTGTATATTTAGCCGGCATGACTCTACCGATCTAACTTTGTTTCATCTTATCCTGTTGCAACCTTGGAGCGAAGAGTCACGTGGAGTGCCCTGAAGGTTTACGTCATTTGTTGGTGTACCAGAAGTATTAAGGCTATGACCTACAGTACTTGCCATTTTTTTGGTTTTATTTTCCTTGCTACCTCGTGGATATGGATTCTGCTCTTTTAAACAAATGTCATTGTTGCTGAACTTCCTAAAAAGACCAATTTTTTTACTAGTTTTATTTTGAAGACCTTTCATATTTTGAGAAAATGCAAATACAGTAAGTATTGTACAGGAATTGCATATTTTTTATTTTTTTTTCTTCCAGAAAATATTAATGTCCATCTGCTAAATTCATACCAAGCTATATTTGTTTAATCTAACGTAAAGATATAATTTCTCAACTTGGTCTTGGGATAGGTACCGTAGGTTAGATAGGTTTGGTGGTACAATTTAAGGACAATTGCCTTGGTTATCCAGTCACTTAAAAAAAAGTAATGCTTTTCTTAATTTTTGTACTGATAACCTATTTTCTGCATTTAGTGCAATGTAACTAAACTACTATGATGGAAGATGTAGTTTTCAACTTTAAAGTAAACTGCCAATGGATACACAATTAATTCAGGTGAATTAAGACAGCAGTGCTGAACAGTGCCTGATTTAAGCTAGAATGGACCACTGGGCATGACTGAAATTTTGATAAATTACTTGAGTCCGACTTAGTCCAAGTCCAGTGATATTTTGTTTTCATTCACCACAGTGCATGGACACAGTGGCTTTGCTTGTTTTACAACTCTTATAAATATAATACTTTTTCCTTGCTTTCTCCTTGGTTTTAGTAGTGAGTGAATTGTCACAATATACCATAGACAGAATGCTTCGGTCTCCTAGTCAAAATGTACTACTTCTTTATTGCTGGGTTTACTGTATTTAATTTGTTACATTAAAAAAGGCATGCAGATAAACTTTGATATATATTTTATATTTTGTTTATAGATGATTAACGAGGGGAATATTGACGTGTGTTCGTGGTGGGGTGGGCCATCACTGTGTGCACAGTGAGAGAATGGTGCTTAGTGAATGACATTTGTTTACATTGGATATACTTTTTAACACAAACTAAATACTTTTGGTAGAATACGGACAAATTTATTGTTGAATAGCAATATTTTATTTACAATGTCGTAAGGGCGAATTTCCATAACCAGAATTCCTGTAATGCAGGGATCCAGTGTACTGTAGTGACTTTGTTTGTCCGTCCTCCAGCCAATGAACTGCCATGTTACAAACTTACACGAGGCCTCGGGTGCAAGGTTTGAGTGAATGGACTACAGTACATAAGTGTTTCTAACTTGGTAAAGGTGTAGAGGAGGGTGCCCACCAGAAAGAATTGTCTGAAATGGTTGAAAATTTTTCTACACAATGTGATATTAAACACACAAATGGAAACGACACTGCATAGAACCTAATAGAACCTGACCTAACAAACCCAACCTATCGGTTTGTTAGGCCAGGTTCTATTAGGTTCTATGCATTTTGTTAATTTGTATTAAACAACTTGCCTTAATATTGAGGTAGATGTACAGTACATCAGCAATGGCGAGGAGGAATACGTGGTAGCGTTCACCATCTTATAGGAAACGTCTCTTGAAAAGGGATTCACCGAGGAAAAAAATGGCACCGGGAGGAGATTTGTGTAGCGGCATAGTGAATACAAATATTCCTAAAAAATTGTTAAAATTATAATAGAAAGTTGTCGTTTCTTTTAATATACCTGTACTTAAAATCAAAACGATAAGTATAGCAAAATTCAAGAAAATCAACAAAAACTTCTGGTGGTCACCCTTTTCTACACCTTTACCCTAACTTTTTAGAATGGCTTTTGCTGGAAGAGATCCCATCTTTATTTTTCTTGTTTTATATACTGTACTAGATTTCAAGGAGATGAATACTGTACCATCTTCTTTCCTGATATATTTTGGTGGGAGCTTTATAGATTGGGTAACTTAAGTACTGTACATAAGATTAGCTGTGATGAATTGTCACCCTCTTGTAAACATACATTCACTCAGTGAAGCTTATGGCCTAAACCATTGAATATTGAACAAAGCAAACTTATCAGACCTGATCCAATGAGCTTGCACCATTTTGATGATTTTCACTGGTAGACTTGTTGAACAGCACTGTACTTTAACCCTTAGATATCCTAGACTCGATCTAATTTTTAAATGAGGAATGCTTCTTAGTCACAAGTAAGTCCCAGAGGGATCTTCAGAAGTACAGTAATCCATTTAATTAGCAGCAGTCATGTTACAAACACCACCTCAGCAGTCTCAACTCGACCCGACTTTTGTCTTGTCCATTATGGAGTACAGAGTGCCAAGTCTTAGCCTAGCCTTCCTGCTAACTTGATGGCTCATCAGTAACTGGGCCTCCCACACCCCAGCTAGGACACAGAGGAAGCTGCTGTTAACCCAGTTTTCAGCACAAGTGAAGTCTTGGGTTGAGTTACACACTTCTCAGTCTTGTGTGAAGCTTTAACCTTTGTTTACAGCACTTAAGGGATGTACAGTGTAATTGAACTAACTAGGACTCGGCTAATGTACAGTATAGTGTCAGTTTAGAGCGGGGGTTCTTAACCTTTTTAGGGTCGTGTCCCCTATTGCAATTGGTCCTCATCTCCACACCCCTCTACTTCCTTCATATAAAATTCTAAATCTAAAAATTTTAAACAATTTCCACTTGAATTAAATAGGAAAATTGAGAAACTAGTTTTTCATTCATTACTTTTAAGAACTTTAATTATTCAAGAGTCTGTATAAGCAATTTGCAAATACACAACATATTTAGTGAGCCTCAAAATTATCGTTTCTTCATAAAATTATCAGACCCTTCCTTACATTATTACTACCTTAATTCAGTAACTTTTAGTGAAATTTTACATTTTGATTGATGTAGTTACCATTTAGGACATTTTGAAGTGTCTGTGGGGAGCAAGACCCCCCCCCTCCCCCCACGAAAATCCAATTGAGGACATACACATCTGTTAAGGCCATTTCTTAGAGAAACTGATTTTGCTGCTAAGTAATCCAGTCAGTTTTTCAAAGTACTTTTGTTGGATGTAGCATCATGCCATTCACTGGGCATACAATATTTCTCAAGGTGATTGTAATTTTCTTTTTTGTTTTTAATTAAGAATTGTGTGTGTAATTTTGATCGAGGTCTAATAATGTGAATATCTATTACTGCACATGTCCCAGGAGACTGAGGCTTTTAAGGTAGATAATTGGATATTAAATTCCGAGTTGGAGGATGTTTGGTCAGAATGTTTTCTTAATGATTTGGTTACACAATTTAGGGTGCTACTGTACTATGTTGCTTACTGAGCTGGAGTTGGTTTACCTGGATATTTACACTGTATTGTCTATTAACCCAACCCAACCCAACCCAACCTAACCCAACTTTATGTAATTCTGTATATCTTAACCTACAGTGTAAATATCCCGGTAGACACAACCCCAGCTTGGTAGACCGCATACTATAGGGGCACCCAATTTAGAAAAGATAAACTGTACAGTATGTCTTGCTGCATGTATTAGATGACTGTCAAAATTCAGATGGGTGCTGTGTATTTCTCTTGTTTAGTGGGGACTGAGGTCGAGCTATTACAAGAATTTTGTGTAAGGTCTCTATGATGGTCTCTCTTTAGGAGGTGGAAATAAATGTAAGAGACTGAATATAACAGGGGCTGGAACATACCCCTATCATTCTGAGATATCAGGGCAAATACCATTTGAATTGAAGGTACTCCCTTCTAGAATTTCATCTCATGAAAGTCGTGAAATAATTGGGGTTGGATTGTACAGGATTCCCATTTTCTTATATTCTCAACAATGATTAAAGAATGCTAGTACAGTACAGTAGGGTTGTAATTATGTCCTTTCCCAGTTTACCCACTGCACTGAATGGAGCAGGAATATTGTCCTTGGCTATTTGAGAGAGATGTTAGGATGGAGGGTGGGGATTGGTTGTCTCAGCATCTTGAGAATTGAAGGTTAAGGTCACCAGGTGTGGTTTGCACTTCTTTTCTTAAACC